TTTACGCTTTTCAGTGTGTAAAACTCAGCTCATCGTCTAAAAAATTTGAAAAGATGTTCATTCTGTAAACTAAGCCTTTGAGTGAATTAAATTCATTTCATCGTCTAATCACTTTTGTCATAATTTTTGGAGAAAAATCTCAGCACTTATAAAATGAACAATGATAACTTCATGGTTGCTTCTCTTGTATGATTTTTATTCACTTGTTATGAAGAATTGCAAACTCACTCGTTCGCTGCGCTCACTCGTTTAGCCAGTTTGGGTGTGGTCATAGGGCAAATTGACCCCTACAGTGGGAGGGGAGAGAGAGAGGGGAAGAGAAAAGGTTTCTGACAAATAACATATACCAGCTATCATGATTCTAGACGCCAAATTCCCTCAAACACCCTTACTTGTATATTTCCAAGCAACGCTTTCCTTCTACGGACATATCATTTTCCAAATCTCCAAGCCAGCAAAAATTTGCCTGAAGAACAGATGATTTTGAGGAACAGATCCACTGGATGCCCCTGATGGTAAACGAGGAACAAAGCAGACAAAGCCGCGAATAGGACCATGAGATGCCTTTCAGTTAAAAAAGCGTTTCAGTTGATATCTGACCTTAAAGTAATAGATTTTTGCGCAAACAAAATTTGAAGTTCCCAGTTACAATAACCGAAGTTGTAGTTTTATCGGGGCTTCCACTACTAAGTAAAAAAAAAAGTCACCGAAAATTTACCAATTATACCCGATTAAAGGTCGAACGTCACTTATCGAAACACAGTAGAAAGTGAGAAACAAAAGCACTATTCCCAGTGCTCGCTCGCGTAACACTGGCCTTAATTCAGACGAATTAGTAGCGAGAGATCTATTTCAGGCGTGAGACTATCGTTGCAACGCTTCGATTAAGCTAGTAGAGGTTTCTTTAGAGTGAGCTTTGAAGACTGATTAACTGTGTTAATGTTGATGGGAAAGTAGGTGCTCCTTGAATTACAGCACCGGTGAATAATGCTTTAGATTGCTGCGATAAATCTATCAACCGATCGAACCGACGTCCCTAAACCTTTTCGAGATCTTGAAAATAAAAAGGCGGCTTGCCAGTTTTCGCGCCAAAAGTGAGATGGTTTCCCGTACTGACTACTGAAAAAACATCGTTCGTCCACTCAGACGCCGCTATAAACTATGTTTTTCACTAGTGACAGTTCACCGTTCGCGTCGCTGATTGGCTGTGACGAAAAACAGAACGATTTTTTCATCACCTTCATTCTGTGAGTAAATCTCAGTTCTTATATCATAAAGAGAGAGAATCATACGGTTCAGTCTCTAGCCGCGCGATCAATAGTTCGTAAATTCCTCAAACGGCTCTGTATGGACCAAGCCTGAAAGAGTATCAATGGTTTTTTGCGAGCTTTACGCCTAGCTACGACCAGTTAAAGATTTAATTCTACACAGAAACCGAAAAAGTCATTCTTAAAAACTGATTTTACTTTCTCTCTGACATGATTTGTATATCAAAAAGAGCAATCAATTTTCATGCTTAAGGCATATGCATATCCTAGTACCACAAAGATAGGCCAGTGATGACCATGGATCCCGTTCTCTCATGTTACATATGGTACTTACCTTGGGTGTGAGTACAACGAAAGCAAATGGAATCACTTCTCACTATAGCGGACAACCCCGAACCGTGACTTCGTCATAAATATGCGGCACCGAAGAAGGACGAAAAAGCTAACCCTTTTTAAGTAAATTACTTTAAGGTTTAAACGTGAAGCTTTTTAAAGTGTAAAATAATTATAATTTACTTTTACTGGTATCACTTGTAATAATAATAATAATAATAATAATAATAATAATAATAATAATAATAATAATAATAATAATAATAATAATAATTAAAATTTGTAACGCGCTAGTTTCCGGTGTATAAATATTATCACGTTTGCGGTTTCTGAATTTGATAGTAAAAATTATTAACAAAATGGTGCGGTAAAAAACTCATATTTCTGTTTTTAATTGTCCTGCCCTTTTGTCCCTGCTGACGCCATATATTATAGCCATAGCAACCAACAACCATCACATTTTGCGTAAAATGTGTACATTAAGAGTACAGGGGAACCCTGTTAATCTATTACCTGCGATAAGAATAGTTAAAAAGTAATGCTAAATAAATTCCCCTCTGGATTATTTTCTCTCAAAAACGTAACCATTTCCATCATAGGTCTCTCTAAGGAACCTCTCGAGAAAAGCTTTCTTGCAAGTGGATGAACAGTCTGGATTTAATCGGCTGCAGGCTGCTGTCTTTGAGGGAGAATATGACATTGTTTTAAAAGCTGCTGGCCTTTTGGACAACTTTGTAAAAGAGATGGAACTTACAAAAACGGGAAATAACGCCAAAAACTTTCCAGGAAAAACCGCATTTGACATCTTATCACTTATAAAGAGAAGAAATTTTAATCATTATCCTATCAAAGAGTTTTATGAAGAGTGTGCTGAGGACAACAGTAGACTGACTGAGCCGCAGTGGGGTACATGCAATGATGATGCGGAACAGGCTGTTGAACTTGTATTAAATGATGATGTTGATATTAATGCCCGAGCATCAGACCTGGATTACACAGCTTTATTGTGGGCGAGTCGTTCATCCTCAAGTCAATTCATTGAGACCATCATTGATCTTGGGGCCGACGTTAATGCCCAGAAAATAGAAGGCAAATATACTAAACCAAAGTTAGAAGTTGATGGGAGAAACTTACGAACGCCACTAATGTTAGCAACTGATTGGAACAACTACATGGCTGTGTGCTTGCTTTTAAGACATGGGGCTGGTGTAAACGTTCTGGGACGTTCTGGTTCCACACCTTTGCACTTAGCAGTCAAAAAGAATCACAAAAGTCTGGTCAGATTATTACTTGCATACAAAGCGGATGTAAATATTCAAGATTATGGTGGCAAAACCCCGCTACTCGAGTCAGTGATAAAAGGTGACGAAAACCTGGTGAGATTATTCCTTGAACACAAAGCGGATGTAAATATTCAAGATTATGGTGACCAAACCCCGCTACACGAGTCAGTGATAAAAGGTGACGAAAACCTGGTGAGATTATTCCTTGAACACAAAGCGGATGTAAATATTCGAGGTCAAGGTGGCACCCCGCTACACGAGTCAGTCAGAAAGGGTGACGAAAACCTGGTGAGATTATTCCTTAAACACAAAGCGGATGCAAATATTCAAGATAAAGATGGCAAAACCCCGCTACTCGAGTCAGTGATAGGAGGTGACGAAAACCTGGTGAGATTATTCCTTGAACACAAAGCGGATGTAAATATTCAAGATTATGGTGGCAAAAGCCCGCTACTCGAGTCAGTGATAAAAGGTGACGAAAACCTGGTGAGATTATTCCTTGAACACAAAGCGGATGTAAATATTCGAGGTCAAGGTGGCACCCCGCTACACGAGTCAGTCAGAAAGGGTGACGAAAACCTGGTGAGATTATTCCTTGAACACAAAGCGGATGTAAATATTCGAGGTCAAGGTGGCACCCCGCTACACGAGTCAGTCAGAAAGGGTGACGAAAACCTGGTGAGATTATTCCTTGAACACAAAGCGGATGTAAATATTCAAGATTATCGTGGCAAAACCCCGCTACTCGAGTCAGTGATAAAAGGTGACGAAAACCTGGTGAGATTATTCCTTGAACACAAAGCGGATGTAAATATTCAAGATTATGGTGGCAAAAGCCCGCTACTCGAGTCAGTGATAAAAGGTGACGAAAACCTGGTGAGATTATTCCTTGAACACAAAGCGGATGTAAATATTCGAGGTCAAGGTGGCACCCCGCTACACGAGTCAGTCAGAAAGGGTGACGAAAACCTGGTGAGATTATTCCTTGAACACAAAGCGGATGTAAATATTCGAGGTCAAGGTGGCACCCCGCTACACGAGTCAGTCAGAAAGGGTGACGAAAACGTGATGAGATTATTCCTTGAACACAAAGCGGATGTAAATATTCCAGATTATGGTGGCAAAACCCCGCTACACGAGTCAGTCATAAAGGGTGACGAGAACCTCGTGAGATTATTCCTTGAACACAAAGCAGATGTAAATATTCAAGATTATGGTGGCAAAACCCCGCTACTCGAGTCAGTCATAAAGGGTGACGAAAACATCGTGAGATTATTACTTGACCATCACGTAGATGTAAATATTCAGGACAATCGTCGAGAAACACCACTACTTAGGTCTTTCGAAATTGGCAACAAAAAGCTTGTCAGGTTGTTAGTTGAACACAACTCAATTGTAAATGTTCAAGATAAAAAAGGATCTACACCTTTGCACCAGTATGTCAAGGAGGGTGACGAAAATCTCGTTAGATTATTACTTGAACACAGCCCGGATGCAAATATTCAGGATAATAATGGATATACAGCCCTACACCAGGCAGTCATTAATGGTCACGTAAACTTCACTGGATTGTTGCTTGAACACAAAGCGGATGTAAATATTCAAAGTAAATTTAGATTCACGCCATTGCACCTGTCAGCTCTTTCCAGTCACAAAGCTTGCAATAAGATAATGGATCTCCTGCTACAGTATGGAGTGCAAAATATAGACATCCGTGATGTAGAAGGTAGAACTCCTCTTCAAATGGCAGTGAGATGTGGTAACGCGCAAGCTGTGCAAAAGCTTGTTGACCATGGAGCTGATGTTAGTGTTGTTCAAGCCGATGAGACTGATGCCCGAAGACTGAAACGCTTAAAGAATGAAGCGAAGATGATGGAGCAAAATCTTAAAGTTGAAATGGGTTTTGCGCAAAAAGGTAACGAAACAAAACAAACAACAGGTGTCGCTTCTGTTCAAGGTGCTGAAAAACTCACAGAGTCTCATCCCAAATTAGAAAAGTACTGATGCAAACCCCCTCGTCTACGTATACAACAAAGGAAATAGAGGAACAAGCGGAAGCTGAAGACACTGGCAGTGAGACACGCCAAATAAAAGGCGAATCTGCAAGAACAGATAAATGTGTAATGGCCTAAATATTAAGATTTTTCAGAGTTGTGTTTTGAGAAAGGCCCGGCTGTTTTGCCTTCAATGTTAATTTGAAGATTGTAAAATGGACGCTGTTACAAGAGTTTTAACCGACGTTTTGGCAAAGCTGCCTTCTCAGTGCCGTAGCAAGGGTAATATAAGTGGGGGACACGCGAGCGCCGGAGGCGCGAGCCGCTAGGGGGGGCTAGGGGCATGCTCCCCCAGAAAATTTTGAAATCTAGAGGCTTGGAAATGCTATTTCCAGCGTTCTCCAAGAGCTTTTTGTGATTTACGCATATCGCGAATTATTTACCTCGTACACTGTCTCAGCAAACCTGGTGAGATTATTCCTTGAACACAAAGCGGATGTAAATATTCAAGATTATGGTGGCAAAAACCCGCTACTCGAGTCAGTGATAAAAGGTGACGAAAACCTGGTGAGATTATTCCTTGAACACAAAGCGGATGTAAATATTCGAGGTCAAGGTGGCACCCCGCTACACGAGTCAGTCAGAAAGGGTGACGAAAACGTGATGAGATTATTCCTTGAACACAAAGCGGATGTAAATATTCCAGATTATGGTGGCAAAACCCCGCTACACGAGTCAGTCATAAAGGGTGACGAGAACCTCGTGAGATTATTCCTTGAACACAAAGCAGATGTAAATATTCAAGATTATGGTGGCAAAACCCCGCTACTCGAGTCAGTCATAAAGGGTGACGAAAACATCGTGAGATTATTACTTGACCATCACGTAGATGTAAATATTCAGGACAATCGTCGAGAAACACCACTACTTAGGTCTTTCGAAATTGGCAACAAAAAGCTTTTCAGGTTGTTAGTTGAACACAACGCAATTGTAAATGTTCAAGATAAAAAAGGATCTACACCTTTGCACCAGTATGTCAAGGAGGGTGACGAAAATCTCGTTAGATTATTACTTGAACACAGCCCGGATGCAAATATTCAGGATAATAATGGATATACAGCCCTACACCAGGCAGTCATTAATGGTCACGTAAACTTCACTGGATTGTTGCTTGAACACAAAGCGGATGTAAATATTCAAAGTAAATTTAGATTCACGCCATTGCACCTGTCAGCTCTTTCCAGTCACAAAGCTTGCAATAAGATAATGGATCTCCTGCTACAGTATGGAGTGCAAAATATAGACATCCGTGATGTAGAAGGTAGAACTCCTCTTCAAATGGCAGTGAGATGTGGTAACGCGCAAGCTGTGCAAAAGCTTGTTGACCATGGAGCTGATGTTAGTGTTGTTCAAGCCGATGAGACTGATGCCCGAAGACTGAAACGCTTAAAGAATGAAGCGAAGATGATGGAGCAAAATCTTAAAGTTGAAATGGGTTTTGCGCAAAAAGGTAACGAAACAAAACAAACAACAGGTGTCGCTTCTGTTCAAGGTGCTGAAAAACTCACAGAGTCTCATCCCAAATTAGAAAAGTACTGATGCAAACCCCCTCGTCTACGTATACAACAAAGGAAATAGAGGAACAAGCGGAAGCTGAAGACACTGGCAGTGAGACACGCCAAATAAAAGGCGAATCTGCAAGAACAGATAAATGTGTAATGGCCTAAATATTAAGATTTTTCAGAGTTGTGTTTTGAGAAAGGCCCGGCTGTTTTGCCTTCAATGTTAATTTGAAGATTGTAAAATGGACGCTGTTACAAGAGTTTTAACCGACGTTTTGGCAAAGCTGCCTTCTCAGTGCCGTAGCAAGGGTAATATAAGTGGGGGACACGCGAGCGCCGGAGGCGCGAGCCGCTAGGGGGGGCTAGGGGCATGCTCCCCCAGAAAATTTTGAAATCTAGAGGCTTGGAAATGCTATTTCCAGCGTTCTCCAAGAGCTTTTTGTGATTTACGCATATCGCGAATTATTTACCTCGTACACTGTCTCAGCAAACCTGGTGAGATTATTCCTTGAACACAAAGCGGATGTAAATATTCAAGATTATGGTGGCAAAAACCCGCTACTCGAGTCAGTGATAAAAGGTGACGAAAACCTGGTGAGATTATTCCTTGAACACAAAGCGGATGTAAATATTCGAGGTCAAGGTGGCACCCCGCTACACGAGTCAGTCAGAAAGGGTGACGAAAACGTGATGAGATTATTCCTTGAACACAAAGCGGATGTAAATATTCCAGATTATGGTGGCAAAACCCCGCTACACGAGTCAGTCATAAAGGGTGACGAGAACCTCGTGAGATTATTCCTTGAACACAAAGCAGATGTAAATATTCAAGATTATGGTGGCAAAACCCCGCTACTCGAGTCAGTCATAAAGGGTGACGAAAACATCGTGAGATTATTACTTGACCATCACGTAGATGTAAATATTCAGGACAATCGTCGAGAAACACCACTACTTAGGTCTTTCGAAATTGGCAACAAAAAGCTTTTCAGGTTGTTAGTTGAACACAACGCAATTGTAAATGTTCAAGATAAAAAAGGATCTACACCTTTGCACCAGT